TTGGAGGCCATCGCTATTTGGTTGGAGGCCATCGCTACTAGGTTGGAGGCCATCGCTACTAGGTTGGAGGCCATCGCCAGCTTTTTGTTGAATCTGATATTGGACTCCCACAGTTCGAAAGCGCTAAAAACCTGGCCTTAGTTGATCCTCCCGGTGCAGGTAGCCTCGAGAGCTCCTGGTGACATTTGGGGCTGTCAAGAGTCAAGATTCAAAAAACATCAAAAAGGTTCCAAGCGGCTCCCTTGTAGCTTGCAAATTGTGCCAAGGATTGTCCTCTTGTCTACGAGCAGCAACGGGATCCTCCTTTTGCGAGGAAATAGGATCATTTTTGAAGCATTGAATTGTGCAAAGTGTGACCAAATATCAGTCGAGCTGCTGATTCACCAACTTCCCCGCCTCAACAGCACGATTTGGATGAAGCCGCATTCAACCCTCGGCATCTTTAGGTTGGCACCATAACACCATAGTGCTCGGAACGCAGATCTGCTGGGATGGAGCCCTTGGTGTTCCTCAACATCACGGAAGACATGCAAACAGGTACCATGGGAAGTCAAGCCTGTGCACTCCCAACTCTTGACAAGGACTTATAAATTCAGAAACCCAGGGTATGCATGAGTTGCCCGATCTGTTAGTTTTCGGCTAGTGAAATGCTGAATGCTACTAGTATCACCTAGCGAAGCACTGAAGCACTAAATCGATGCTACAACTCAAGATCAGTCTATATAATCTATATATATATATGCATATGGAAAGACACGACTGGGGAATGCAACTCCTAAAAAGGCTGGAAATCCTTGGGGATCTTTTCTCTGCGCCTGGGCAGCAAACCAGCAGCCTCTGCAAGGCCATTAAATTCTTCACGCCTGAAGAAAGAATAAGCGGCACGCCAGTTCTCTTCGTCTTGAGGTCAAATCTATGCAGCCAGAAGTGCTTCGGTAGAAGAGGCAAAGTGGAAATGGTGAAAACAGTGTGACAAATGGTGAAAACAGCGTGACCATCCAGCTGTTCTGTTTCATTCTCCTCGCAACCCTCTGGCACAGTCTAATTTGACATGTCCTTTCTACCTTCGACCCAACAAATCTTTGATTCTGGCAGGAATGGAACTACATGTAGCAGCGAAGGCCTCAGCTCGCACACTTACTGTTTAAAAACAAGGCAAAAGGCGGTTCAAAAAAAAAAACAACATGTTGTTTTCTTTATTACATTTGTGGAGCGTGTCGCACATCAATCGGTGAAGGCCTCACACGTGCTGCCCGACGACTTGCTGTTACTGGCTCTTAGATGCCGGCATCTGTGTCCCAACCTTGTGGGGGACCTTCTGCTTCAGCTCCTTTCACTGATTCTGAAAGTTGTCTTTTTGGGGGGGGGAGTAGGCCGCTAGCAGAAGTGGTAGCAGCTAGCTGGAGATAGTTAGTAGTGTCTACAAGTAGGGAGTCGCTAGTAGCTTAATAAGTAACTACTAGTATGGATGCAGAATAGCTCATGTTTCTTCAAGGAAGCTTCCTAATAGGGATGGCCTCCAACCCAATGGCGATGGCCTCCAACCTAATAACAGCGGCCTCCAACCTAATCGTGATG